TCTCTCTCTCTCTCTCTCTCTCTCTCTCTCTCTCTCTCTCTCTGTGTCTGTGTGCGTGTGTATGAAGAAGTGGGAGGTAAAGGCAAGCCTGACCCTTTCTGAACTGCCCCCAGGGAGCCGCAGCAGTGTAACTAGGAGAGCAGCTGAGGCAGGAGAGACACCAGAGGCAGGATGAGCAGTTGGTCATATGTGCTCAGATATCAGTTCAAGAAAGAAACACTGAAGGAACATGCTCAGTTTAGAGCTGGCTGGGGTGTGATGTCAGGGGTCAGGATCAGCATCCTTGGTGCCCTTAGATGAGGAAAGGGTACAGGTCTGGGATGGTGGGGGTGAAGTGGGCAGGTGCTGGGAGAGGGAAACTTTGTGTTCTGGGCGAAGTTAAAGCTGAGAAGTATGGCTGAACCAATTCAGGAGGGAAAGAGAACTCTCTGAAGATGGCGTAGGCTGACATTCAACCCAAGTCCTCTACTCACCAGTCCCTGAGGTAAAACCAGGCTGCTGGAAGTTGTAGCTCTTGATTTCACTGTACCACCTATCAGCCACGTCCTTTCCTGTACAGAAAAGACACTTGAGGGCTCAGCAATAAAGTCTATACACCCCCTCCATCTTCTTTCCCAAACCCCAAACCCCCATTCCACACTGGATGTCTGACAAAGCATCAGTGAGGTAAAACATCAGGGTTACTCCCTGCAGACTCCAGGGGACTCAGGAAGATGCTTTCACTGGGTTGAGTTGAGCACTGGGGTCAAGGGTCCCCAGATGAGCTAGCCCTACATCTTGCCACTGAACCACTGTGGCATTCTGGACAAGGCTTTCCCTGCTCTGGACCTCTGCAACGGAGAGGTGAGACACAGTGCATCCCAAAGATCTTCTAGCGATGTTTTGAATTTCTGGGAGCCTGTCCCCATCCCACCTGGGGTCTGTTTCTAAAATACCCATAGGAATAAAGGGAGCTGAGCCAGTAGGCCAAGGGTCCTCACTGCCATTAGAAGGACCTTCATCTTGAGCATCCACTGTCAGTGTGGTTAAGGAAGCATTTCCTAGGATCTGTTGATCTCAGAGCCACAGCTCCATCAGGACATAGATGTCAAGACGAGTCACCCCAGGGACCATTTATAAAAAGCTGAGGCCGGGGTCCTCTTTGAGATCAACTGTACTGTTTTCTCAAGAGGAGAGACCCGGGAGCTGGGAAGTATTCTAAGCTCCCCAAAGATTCTAGTATGTAACCAGGGTACATCAACCCAAACTTCTTTGTGTAGGAATGGCCAGAGAGAGTACTGGCTTGATCATGGTGCCCTGGGATCCAGCATAAGGTCACTCTGGATAGAAGAGCATTCCTGGGGTCCTATCAAGTCTGCATCCACCCAGCACCCTTCTAGTCAGGAGAGGCCAGAGCCTGGGCCCAGAGTCTGTAGGCTGAGGAAGAGGCCCAGAGGCCCCGCCCACCAGCTGCCTTCCAGGCACATGGCTTTTGGGGAGGAGACAGCTGGTGTGTGTGTGTTGTGGGGTTGGGGGGTGACGCTAGGGAAACCAGGCATTTGGGGAATCCCTTTGGGAGCTTCCGGGAATGTGAGGCGGGGGAGGGAAAGGAGTCATTCGCTTCTGGGCTTTGGAGAAAGCTCCAGAGATAGTCACAGCTCTCACTATTTTCCTAAAAAGCTACCTCAGGGCTGCAGGAGATAGAGACTCAAGAATGTTTGTTCAGTGGGGGTGGGGTCATTCCCTCCCAGGTCCTGGGCAGAAAAATCATCTTTTTTCTTTTTCTTCCTTTTTTCTTTCATTTTTTTTAAAGAAAAATGCTCAATTTGGTTTTTTTTCTTTCTGATTATGAAAGCAATACACCTACAGTACACAAATAAATAATTTAGTAAAGCACAAGGGTGCTCTGGTGTCACAGAAGCAGGCTGAAGTCATACAGATGTTGTAGTCTCCAGCGCCCACGCCGCTGACTTTGACTTCTTCACCCGAGCTGTCTAGTCTGACTCATCTCTATACCGGCCTACTGGCTGTGGGCCAGCTACTGTGGTCAGCCCAGGCACAGATGCAGAGAATTCAGGGGTTCTCTCTCCCTTCCTGGGCCTGTGGCTCCACCATCACTGAACCATGAAGGGCAGCGTCAGGAGGAGTCCCCAGAAGCCTCATCCCAGGTCTAGCTGAGCACAGGAGGAGCTGAGAATGTCCTACCTGTCTGATCGTAGGATGCCCACGCAAGGTTCTCCCCACACTGGCCACGACTGGACTCTGGGCTGTGCTTGAGAATTCTTGTGCTGGCCAGGGCTTCCGAATACCTGCATAATGCATCTTCTTAGAGCAGGCCCAACCCAGGGACACCCTTACCTCCACACCACACACACACACACACACACACACACACACACACACACACACCATCCAACATCTGAGATTTGTATGGCTGAGCCTCCTTTTCTATCTGGGCTAACCAGATGGAGAGCAGAAACACTGGTCCTGTATAACCTAGGCCTCCCGACAATCCCATTTTCAAAAGATTGAACTGACTCTCAGGAGCAAAGGGACTTGCTTGGGCCAGCAAAAGAGTGGGTCCTTAAGTCTGGCTATAACTGTACCCCAATCACATCCTTTCAACCACCCAGCAGCCTCCATGACTGCAGAAGCAGCTCCACAAGTAGCCAGAGCCCGATGGCTGCTGAGGACTCACTGCTGAGCTTCCCGGTTGAGCTTCTTACAAAGCTTCAGTGGCGGGACACCGTGCTGAGCCCGGTACTCGTTGTGGGCCTTCAGGACCTCGTTGTTAAACTGTTTGGAAGCTGGAATGAGAGAGGAATGGACAACAGCTCAGTGTAGAGGGGAGACCCACCAAAGGTGTATTGGCACACTTCAGGACACAGAGACTGCCGGCCCCTCCCTTCCTCTTCATCCTGGTCACATTAGCCGTGTTGCACACCAATGTTCATTCTGCCTCTGTCACCACCATCACCTTCTGCAGATCAGAATTCTGTAGATTTGGATCTTCTGGGCCTTGTTGGGGATCTGAATCTTTATCTGAGGCAACGGGACACAACTGAGCAAAAGCAGGGGACTACCCAGATTCAGAGAGCTGTTGCTGGCCGCTGAGAGGTTCTGAGGAAGGAACAGGGCTGGTCAGACATTGCTAGAAGAACATGTCTGAAGGTGACTGGATACCTCAGACTAGACCAATGGAGTCTGGAACGAGCTGGGAGCTCAGGGAGAAGTAGCTTAGCTAGGGTGGGTGGTACCATATTGGACCAGTGAATACAGGAGGCGTGAGTGGATGGAGAAAAGGAGGGGGACACACACACAGAGGAGTGAGAGGGGTGGGATAGGGAGGGAGGGAAGAAGAGAGGAAGAGAGTCAGAGAGAGAGAGAGAGAGAGAGAGAGAGAGAGAGTCAGATAGTAACAACTAAAGAAAGAGGATCAGTGGCAGCAGCCTTGAGGGATGGACTGAGAGCATAGGGACAAGGACACTGTGGTGATGGGGAAGGAGGGCAGGATAAGCTGGCTGGGACTGTGGGGAGGGAAGAGCCTGTGCCCACCTGAATCACGAATTCAGCAAAGTTAACATCCAGAGGACTGGGGTTAGGGAAACAGGGGATGGAGGGCAGGGAGGTCAAGAGTGGACAAAACCCACACTGCTTCCGACCCCCTAAGCACCCATCAGCCCCTCCAACAAACCACTGCGCACCAAGCATCCGTCTGCTTTCCATCTACCCAGCATCAGCATCTGTGCATTCCTCCATTGCCAACATCTACCCATCCACCAACGCAGCACAGCAGCATAGCCTACCGGAGGATTGACCATTCATCCAGTCCAGCACTAATCTACTTGCCTGCTCCCTGAACACAGTCCCATGTGATGCAGGCAGAGAACGGCGAGGGTCATGTAAAGCAGACTCGTCATAGTGCAAGGGGAACCTGGGTAGGATCACACACCACGGACAGCCTTGGGAACCTAGGAATCCAACCCCCTCTGGAGACATGGGGTGCAGGGCAGGTCTATGAGTGAGCACCAGACTGGTCCTATCTGCTAAGAGTCTACCTTGTCAGGGTAGGAAGCATGTAGCTACAGTCATGAAGGAAGTGTTCAGGGCTAACTGCAGGCAGGAAGGAGGAAGAAATGAAGGTCATGGTTGGTGATCACGGTGTCCTAGGACTTTCTAACAAGTTACAGAGGAAGTAGACTGCCCTTGAGGACTGTAGGGTCCAGCAAGACTGCGTAGGAGATCCAGTTTCAGGACATGTGGTGAGGCAGGGTTGAAAGGGGCTCTGAACCTATTTGTGAGGTTTGGGGTAACAGGTGGGGGATGTGAACAGAAGGTAACATGGTAACAGGGTGGAGTCACAACCCGAAACCCTCGGGTCCTGGTGGTCAGAAGAGGTCCACACCCTTGTGAGAAGAAAGACGGAGATCAGGTGTCCTGAGGTAGGAGGAAACAGGTGGTGTTTAATAAGTGCAGAGTTTGCAAAGTGAAAAGATCCTGGAGCTGCCTCCCAGGCAGTGTGGATCCATCTGACACTAGGCAGGCACGCATGGAGCATCTGAGGGTGGGTTTCAGGTTTGGCATGCTGACGTGGAACAGGGGACATCAAATCACAGTCTTTCAAAAACTACGGGGAGTGGGGGGTAATGGGAATGAGGGCAACGCCTGGAAACAAGTCACAAGCTGGGTCTCTTGAGCTAAGGAGCCAGCAGGATGATGTGGTAACCAGAACCACACAGGCCCCTAGGCCAAGGGTGCGCCACCCTGCCTTGCACAAGAGGCAGAGAGGACAGAGCCAGAAGTGCGTGCAGGAGGTTAGAGTGGGGTCCTGTGAGAGTAAGCACCCACCGGGCTCTTTATCCTGGAGCTGAGATCGGGGGACACACTTGGGTGGGAGAATTCTGGTGAATTCTGGGATCCTATAGGACAAAGCTGAAGCCAGCGGGTAGACAGGGCGGGATGACAGTTTAGGCAAGACTAGGAAGGTCCTCTCTCCCAGTGAAAATGTTACTGGAGGTCTAAGGGAACAAGGTGGGGCCCTGGGATCTCTGAGAAGTAAGGGTCCACCTCATTTTCAGGACTCCATGATGGCTCTTCCTGTTTCAGAACTCCAAGATAATAGTGGGAAAGCAGAGAAGGGTGACAACGTGGCCACACTGAAGTCTGGGTTTAAACGACAGGCAAAGTGTGTATAAGGAAGTAGTTCTGGCCCAAGGTTGGCCCACATGTCAGCTCTTTTCAAGTTGTCAGGACTCTAGGAAGTCTCTTCCTGGAAGGTAAGTCCCTCCCCCTGGCTGGCACTGGGGCTACAGCCTTTTCTTTCCCCCAGCATGAGACTCCTGGGACATTCCAGTTCCTTGGCTTCACTGTCCCCAAAGTCTGCTTTCTGAAGTCTGTATCTCTCTTTAGGAAATATGTGCTTCTGCCAGGACTGTTAGGACTTTCTGAAGACAGAAGGGGCTTCCCCAGAGAAAGTGGCAAGCGACCTGCCTCTGGGGCCTGCGGGCAAGTTAGTCTCCATCCTTGTAAGTTTCCATGGGTGTGGGTGACAGAGATGAAGAGCTGACCTAAACTTCCAGGAGCTTCCCCGCCCTTCAGTAAATAGGCAGGGCAATAAAACAGGGGCTTGAATGAGCCACGTGGTCACAGTGAGGGAGGCACCCTGTCTCAGTGATAGACACAGCCAGGGCTTCCAGTCTCAGACAGGCGGGGGAAGGTCTGGTGGGACACCGTGAGGGACTCTTGAGACTCGGTGACATGCACACTGTCCAGAGCTCCCTGGAAAAGTGTTCGGGATCAGGAGGCAGGAGGAGGAGGGGGAGGAGGCCAAGGGTGCAGAAAGGGCCAGGAGAAAGGGAGCCACTTTAAAGCGGCGTGGGTGTTGGGGTCAGTCAGTACTGGACCTGTTGTGCTGGAGGTCCTGTCGACTCTTTAGCAGAGACATATAAGGCCTTTAAAAACTAGGTCAATGTACTCCCAGAACGGGGGAAGTTCCAAGGAACAAAAGTGAAAGTTCATGAACCAACACAAGATCAGTGCCAGGAGCTGACACCAGGCACAGACTCCAGCAGGGCCAGGTCCCTCAGCCAGGGCCTCTGCAGGAGATCACAAAGTCTCCAGAGAGGAGGGCTCTCTTGATTCCCTTAGCTGGAAGCCAGAGGCCCCTTCAGACACTTAGGGTTCTCTTAGGAGTCCCCTCCTACTCTGAACAGGACAAGAGCCCTAGGAGGCAAGTTATCACTGGTGACCACACCCAGCGAGGGGCACACCCTGCTTCTATAGAAAAACCCAAGAATACAGATAAAGTCAGAGTAAAACCTCCCGCCCACGGGCAGGCAGAGCAGACCCTAAGCTGCCCCACGATGGAGGAAGAGCAGGGAGCCACATTCAGTATTGCTAAGGAGCCAGAAAGAGGGACAGGCAAACCCATCTGCCCCGGGCTTGTGCTTCCTTCTTGTCTCCCACTGAGCCTTGGAGAGCTCACTAGTGGCTCACCACCCCTTGGAGCATCCTTTCCTCCCCACCTTCATGACTAGACTAGAAAGAATGTGCTGTGCAAGGGAGGTGACCTGCCCAGTTTCCCTTGCTGGTCCAGGGGTGTCATCAGGAAGGATCTAGGTCTGAAGCAAGGCCCTGTTCCGAAGTTCAACTTCAGGGGGACAACTGAAGCAAACAATAGGAGAAAGGATCCCAACCTGGTAGCTGTCTCCAATCTCTCACAGGAGAGATGAGGAAGGAAGGAAAGAAGAAACAAGTACATTTCTCAAGAGTGTCCTCAGAGCTGGGTAGGTCTGCCTGAGAGGCCTCCGCCATCTTGGGGCTGCAGGAGACCATGGAGGCTGCATAGAACAAAGGGGACGGCAGGACAGCTGCAAGGCTGGATGTTCTAGGTGGGGCCACTCCAGGTCTTTTGAGATCTTTTAGGGGCCTGAGAAAAGTGAAGGAATTCTGAGGTCTGTCTTCAGCCCCCACACCCATGCTTTTGGCAGGCAGCGTCTTCCCTCAGCACCTCTTCCCCGAGGCCTCACTGTCCTGTTCTGCTCCCCTCTCCAGACTCCCCACAAAAGATGTGCACAGGTCCCTCCATCCTCTGGACAAGAGGCTGAAAAGCAAATTGCTCTAGAAAAAACTGGTTTTGCATCTTCATGAAGAGTAGGGAGTGGATAACAGGAGGGAAAACAACTGTTTGTAAGGTATCTGAGTTCTTCCAAGCCTGGAAATTCATTAAGTGAGTGAACAGACAAATAAGTTATTCACATCAGGTACAGAGACAGAACTAGGAGTAGATCCCTGTCCTTGTTTCCGAATGAGGAGTCATATCTGGGGCAGCATATGAATTGCCTCAGGTCACTCAGACCCAGCGGGCTGGGTTAAAGCCAGAGGTAAGCACCTCCCTCCCCTCCTCCTCTCCTGCCTTCACTTTTGTACACTTGCTACTTGACATCCAACATCCCCCCTCGATGGTGAGAACAGGCAAGCAAGAGTTTCTTAGTGGCCTGTGGCAAGGGACCCATTTCTTGGAGATGGCCTTCTCCAAGCAGACCTGTTTGAAAGATGACGGTGTACACACACAGTCCTTAAATGACCGAAGCTGTCAGACAGCAGTGCCTGCTCAGGCTGCTCACGCAAGGCTTGCCCATGGCACGATCTGCCTACAGCAATGGCTCTCAACTTTCCTAATGCTGTGATCTTTAGTGCAGTTCCTCACGTTGTAGTGACCCCCAACCATAACATTATTTTCGTTGCTACTTCGTTTTGTTGCAAAACTGTAATTTTGCTACTGTTATGAATTGCAATGTAAATATCCGTGCTTTCCGATAATCTTAGACACCCCTATGAAAAGGTTGTTCCACCCTAAAGGGTTGAGTTTGTATACAAAGTTTACTGGGTCTGAGTTAGCCAGCAAAGTCACATTCTCTTTTGAGAACTTAGAAGAGGCAAACTTGTGTGGCTGGACTAGGGTACTAGTAAGTGAGTGTGAGTGCCTGTGCGGGTGACACCGGGACCTCCAGCTAGAACCTGCTTCCTGCCACCAGCTCCCTCTTTTCTTTTCTACTGAAACCTACATCAGCACCATTTGCAGCAGACTCATGTCTCTGCCTTCCCCTTCCCTGATGGCTCCCATCTTTGTCCTAGGCCACAGCTTCCTAAACTGCGAGGTAAGACCCTGTGTGAGCACACTGCCAACTGTGGAGGTGGTGAAAATTTTGGCAACATTAAAAGATTTCTGCATGCACAACCACCAAGACTTGACTTGAAAGCATGAGAATGGATCTGAGGTACTTCTGACAGTGCTCGGCCAGGTTGTGTGGTCGTCTCTCTGTAGCCTTAGTTCTGAATGAGGTTCACATGTACATGTCTCCACACCAGGCGCTTCTCGAAGCAGCTCATTTGCTATGGATGTCCGTGCTTTTATTGCACATATGAAGTGTTCTGCTCTTATAGAAACACAGTGGCTTAATTACTGGAAACACTTTTCTTCTGACATTTCTCAGTCAAATTAGTATAGCTTTGGATTCTATCTTATTAGAAACCTGTTTCTTCTCTTCCCTCTTCCTCCTCTTCCTCTTCTTCTTCCTCTTCTTCCTCCTCTTCCTCCTCCTCCTCTTCCTCTTTACATTTTTTCAGGATGTGTGTGAGCACTATGGTCTGTGTTCAGAGGCCAGAGGACAACTTATGGGAGTTGACTCTCTTCCTCTACCATTCAGGTCAATTTCAAGTCTTCAGGCTTGGCGGCAAGCGCCTTTACCCACTGACCCATCTTGTTGGCCCTATTATGCTTGATTTTAAAAATGGCTGTTGAGTTATTCGCTTGAGAGCAATAAGAAGCCACAGGAGATCTGGGGATACAGGTTAGTGGTAGAATACTTCCATGTTCAATCCCCAGCACCAGAAACAAACAAATCAGTGAATGGATTTTGGCTCAAGTTAGGACAGAAATTCCAGTGATAAACTCTGTATGATAGCACATGCCTTTAATCTCAGAGGCAGGTGGATCTCTCTGAGTTTGTTGAGACTAGCCTAGCCTATACAGCCAAGGCTACACAGTGAGACTGTCTCAAATGTGTGTGTGTGTGTGTGTGTGTGTGTGTGTGTGTGCGTGTGTATGTCTGTGTCTATCTTTTAAAATAAATCTCTTAGAGCAGGGGAAATGGCTTTTGGTAAATACTTGCCACACAAGCAAAATGATTTAAGTTTGGATTCCCAGGATTTCTATTTAAAAACAACAAAAACCAAACCCAAACCATAAAACTGGGCACAGCTGTAATGCCTGTAACCCTAGAGCTAGGAAGGCAGAAAGGAAGACCCTGGGGCTCTGGGGCTCGGGGCCAGTCAGGCCATCTGAATCAGCCAGCCCCAGATTCAGTGGGAGACCCTGTCTGAAAAGATAAGGAAGAGAGTGACTGAGGACACCCAGTATCTGCCTCTGGCCTTCGCTCACACAGGAGCACACAGAACACACACAATAATAAAACGAATGTCCGTATGAATTGTTAACAGTAAACATTTGACTTGTATGCTTGTTTAAGCCTGTACACCTGGAGTTGTATAAAATCTGTTGGGCGGGGCTACTTCTTTCACAAGTTTAAGAAGCATGGCCCTAGGTACTTGCAGTACTTTCGTCTGTAGGAAGGCAGTCTCTCCACTCTCTAGCTCCCTTCTGATCTTCCTCTCTGCCACACACTGGTCCTACCACACTCGGTGGCATCTGGCATCAGTAAGTTAGAATTTCCCCAAACCCTCTAGATCTGATCACTTTCTTCTGGCTGCTTTGATGAGCCTCTCTCCTGTGCTTTCCGCTTTCCCCACCCTCCTTCACTTGCAGACCTTGGGCTTGGGTCATTTCCCATCTCTTCCTGAGTCTCTTCCCCAGTCAGTTTCATTTAATCATTTCACAACTCAAATGAACATCCCCAAAGATCAGGCTGTCCCTCCGCTTTACCGAGACCACAGCTTGAAGGGGGGGGGCACAGAGAGAGATGGGGGAGAACAGTAGCAGGAGGACAGCACATGCGTAGTTCTAGAAAACTACATCTTAGAGCAGGAGCTGGAAACTACGTTGGGCTGGGGCAGAGAGGGGGTGCGCTTTTAATCCCAGTACCAGAGAGGCAGAGGCAGGTGATTCTGTGAGTTTGAGAGCAGTTTTGTCTCCCTAGGAAGTTTCAGGCTAGACAGAGGTAAGCAGTGAGACCATGTCTTAAAGTAATAATAGTAACAATAAATATTAATCAAATGAAACGAAGCTTTAGAGAATCCCTGGGCTGACTCATGGAGAGGAAGGAGTTAATTTTTCAAGTAGAGCTCTCTGAAGGCTTTCCCAGGTCTGCTGTCACTTGCCACACCCCCACCTTTCATCTTGTTTTTCTAATTACAGGCCCTTTTCCCCCTTTCCACTGCAAAGGATCATATGGAACACCATCTTTGTACAGATGGGTAAACTGAGGCACTGAGGGAGAAGAAAATATACTTAACATCACATAGCAAGTGATCAATAGGTCCAGCATCAAAAGCCAGGAATGTCACTAAACTTGGACGAAAAGCAGATTAGGACCAGGTCAAGGAAGACCACACTTCCCATGCATTTCTTGAGTCTAGGTCCTGGAGGACAGCTCTAGGGACTCAGCCGTCCTCATCAGAGGCTGACAGCCTATTGACTCCATTGAATGGTTGTCAACCTGTGGGCCGAGACACCCTGGGGTCAGTGACCACCCCTAGGGTGGCACATCACTTATATTTATATTACGATTCACGACAGAATCAACATTACAGTTATGAAGTAGCAACGATGTAACTTTGTGGGGGGAGGGGGTCACCAGCACGTGAGGAACTGAGTTAAAGGGTTGTAGCATTAGCAAAGTTGAGCGCTACTGCTCTAGAGCCTCCCATGAGGCAGGAATGACGTCCTAATAAATAGGAAGCCTTGGTGCCCAGGAGGGAGGAGTCTGAGGCAAGAAGATCTATTGCCCACCTGTCCCTTGTCTATGCAGGAGTGACAACAAATGACTCAGGGTGTGGGCTGTCCCTCTGAAGGAGGAGGGAGAGATTACTGATGGAATCCCCTTCACAGGAGTTGAGCACAGAAGGATGGGGAGGGTTTCAAGCTGGATGGGAGTGGTGAAGAAGACTGGGCTGGGACACCCAGGGGAAGGGACCTGAGTGACTGCCAGCCATCACAGCTGTGCGGCAGAGGGGGTGCTGCCGGTGGCCAGAGGGCCTGACAATGGGGTGGAAGGTGGCAAACAGGGAGCGACAGGAACACTGCATTTCAGAAACTTAAACTTTACAGCCAGAGTAGTGAGTGCGGGCGTCAGCAGGGCACAGATCACAGGGAGCAGCTCTGCACAGCACCCAACCTGACACAGAGGGGACTCAGGAGACGAGCCAGAAGAAACCGAAAAGGAGTCTCAGAGCTGCCTTTAGTTGGGTGGAACCAGACTAGCTGCTTCGCAGCCTGGGATGCTGCCACGGTTTGGTGACTTTTTCCCACTGTAACTTTGTCCTCCTCTGGAACAAAGCATAGCCACGCCTTGGCAGACTCCGACAGCTATCCCCATCAGCGCTTGGAAACTCTCACTGACGCAATCCCTGGCTCGCAGCCAGTGGGACCCTCCATCTCATCCCCTTCTTTCTTTCTCTCCTAGCTGGTGTTCTTACCGCTACCTCCGCCTCCAGGTTGGAACTAGAAACAGCTTAGCTGCTTCTTGGAGCGCTTTGCTAAGCTCTCCATCCCGCACCCCTCAGAGGTCCCGCATTGCAGCGAGAGTGACGGGAACCTTCCAGGGGTTCCCAGGGGATCATGCCCCAGATGGGGCAGGGTGACGGCGAGGGTCCAGGTGCTATCCCCGCTCCCAGGCGGGCCGTCTGGGTGGCTCACCTGATTTGCCCATGGCCTGCTGTGAGTTCCTCGACTCTGCTGCGGCTGCGTTGCGCTGCGCCGGGTAGCGGGTCCCAGCAGCTGGCCGGGGCCGGGAGGGGCAGGGGCGGCCACAGCCACTCCCCCGGCGCCGCCCGGCCCCGCCTTATAAGGCAAAGGCAGCTGCAGGCGGAGGCGCGGGGGGCCACCCCTAGAATTCATTTAGCCGGGTGGGATTCCGCCGCTGGCTAGGGCGGTCCAGAGGCGGATAGGGAGGCTGGTTCTGAGCGTGCCTCTTCTCCCAGAGCTGAACGTGCGCGCGCAAGACCTAGGGGAGAGCGCCACCCTTGTAGTTCCCTACGGTTCCCGCGCGACCGGGACAAGAAGACTGCTGTGCTCACTTGGCCTGGAGAGGTACGGTTCCTTCCGGCGCCACCAGGGGTCGGTACCCTCCCAGATTCAGTCTTCGGCGACACCACCCCCCTCCCAGATCCCCAGTGTTCTGCTTCCCCTTCCCAGTGACACCGCGCTCCAACCACGGCTTCTTTGGACACCCGCCCGCTATGCTCCCCCAGGTTGTAACTGAACCCTTCCCAGCCCTCCAGCTCCAGCAGCCCCAGGGTGGTGCACACTGCCCGACTTGGATCTATCCTTTTGACCCCCCCCCCCCCATTGCCTTTGAGACCAACCCAAATTCCCCACCGAGTTTGGATCCTGCACCCCCACACACTGGCATCATCTAAACCGAGTCCCCCTGGTTAATCCCAAACACATTTTTCTCACCATAAAAAGTTTAATGATTCACAGATTACAAGGACAGTTTGCCTCCCCCTCCCTTGGTACATATATATTTTAAAAATACACTTATTTGAGCCAGACATAGTGGCACATGACTTTATTCTTAGCACTTGGGAAACAGAACCTCGCAGATCTCGGGTAAGGCTTTATCTTTACATTTGTTTCATTGTGTGTGTGTGTGTTTTCAGTGGGGCCATTCATATGTCTGGGTGTTGGAGTGGCGTGGCATGTGTGGAAGTCAGAGAATCTGTTCTTTCTTTCCACTAACATGAGTACTGGGGATTAAATTTGGTCTTTATCTGATAAGCCATCCCACTAGGTACGTTATCTTCTCTTATCTTTTTTTTTTTTTAAAGATTTATTTATTTTACTTATGAGTACACTGTAGCTGTCTTCAGACACACCAGAAGAGGGCATCAAATCTCAATACGGATGGTTGTGAGCCACCATGTGGTTGCTGGGATTTGAACTTAGGACCTCTGGAAGAGCAGTCAGTGCCCTTAACCACTGAGCCATCTCTCCAGCCCCCTTCTCTTATCTTTTTTAGTTTACATTTTGAGACAGGATTTTCTGTAGCCTCAGCTGCTCTGGGAGTCCCTGTGTAGCTGAGAATGATTTTAAAGTTCTGATCTTCCTGCTTCTACCTCCTAGTACTGTAGACACAGGCACCCCCAGCAGTACACATTCTATGACTTTAAGTGTATTTTGTTTTTAGGTTATTGTTTGTCAGACAAGTCTCCATGTACAGTCTACTACTGTAGGTCAGGTCTGTACCACCACACCTGGCCAGAACCTGCAGCACGGAGGCTCAGGTGTATCCAGTAGGTTAGCGCAGAGCTAAAGACTGCCTTGTCCCCCCTCCAATATTCCTCCTCCATGGCCAGTAAATATGCTTCCTGACTCCTAGTACTTCCAAACAGGAGTAGAGTGGACACTGGTGCCTATCTGACTTAAAGGAACTTTTAGTGCTAGGTTGGGATTCCGACCCTGAGTTCAATTCTCTGCCTCATTTTGCTGACAAATTCCCATCGAAATGATCAAATGACTCAGGAGGAATCCCTATCACACCTAGAATCTCTAGAAAGCTATTTCAGAGGAACCAGAACTACAAGGCCATAAGGAAACAGCTGAGCACGGAGGACTCATCTTCTGTGTGCAGAGGACAAGCATCAGCTGTACGTACACGGTGTTCAGAAGTGTCTTCAGAAGGTGAGAGGGCTGGAGTCCTGGCTAGGCTAGATTCCTGCTCTGGTCAGTGCCGTCCATGGTTGGTGTGCTGTATGCTCTGTGAGCCAGCTTTACCAGCAGCAGGCCAGTAGTTCGCCAAACAGATTTACGAGCTGCCAAAACTGATGTCCACTAAGGGGGGCTGGGCGGCTGGGAAGGAAGGCGATGCCTTAGCCAGCAGACAGATAAGAGACAAGCCATACCAAACATCAGGCACCAAGAAGAGTGATGAACCCAATTTCTGTTTTGTTACCTAGCCTGGCCTCACGTCAAACTAGCCATGTAGCTGAGGATGGCCTTGTACTCCTTATTCTTCCGACTCCAGTTTTTGTTGGATTTGTCTCATTTAAGAACTTCGAGCCTTAAGGTGTAGCCTAGGGAAGCTTTGCCCCCTCCCCCCTTCACTAAGCAAACGAGATTTACCACTATCTTGTGAGGCTTGTCAGTTCTGGTTCTGGTACTGGAGCTCTGATTATGATCTAGCAAGAAGAGTGAGCCTGTGGTTCTCTCTGCTTCTTCCTTGTTTTTATTAGTGCGATTAACCTGTTGCTCCGGAATTTTTTTTTTTTCTTCTCTCTACGTCTTCTTTGTGAAAAGCAGAAAGAGGACTTTCCAGTCGCAATGACCTCCGTACAAGCATGTGTTTGCTCTGAGGCTCTCCCCGCCTCTCCAGGAAGAGAAGAGCAAACAGCAGAAGTGCCTGGTGAGGTGCACTGATTCTTCTTGTCGGTGTAATGCCCAGAATACTATAAAAACGGCAGGCTTTCAGCCTTGTGTGTTGGTGGCTCAACAGTGTCCTCTGTTCATAGTCAGGAAAGCAAGGCTGACAGATTAATGAAGCACCTGGACTAAGATGAAAGGAAGATATTCCCAGCCACACAACACAGAAACAGGAGACTGAATCAATGGGTCACACTGGGAAGAAGGAAGCCGTCCATGACAATCTCCGGTCCCCAGTCCATCTTAGGATTCTTCCATGAAGTTTAGGTTTGAATAGAGGCAAAGGTGTGTTTAACTAAGCACCCAGCAACATTATCTCAGTCCCAGTCCCTTGCAGGATCTTCTGACTAGCTTTAAGTTTTCCCTTAACCCCAGACAAGTTCCCCTCCGGTTCAGCATCGGAATTAGCTACTGTTCTATTGCTATGATACTACGGGTAATCAAGGTGGCCTATAAAAGACAACAGTTAACTGAGTTTACAGAGGATTATTGTTCATGATGGCAGAGTCAAGGCATGGCAGCAGGACAGCTGGGACCTCATATCTCAAACTGTAAGAGGGGGACAGAGATTCTATCCGTTTGCTTCATACACTTTGGACCTTTTTATTTGAACATTAACATTTATGACTTTTGTCATCTTGATAAATTGACCCCACCCACCCCAGATCGCACTCTTTCTCTCTCTCTATGTGTGTGTGTTCACATTTCTTCTGTGAATTATATGTTTTTTGACAGTAGTGCAGCATTCTAGCTTGGTTTGTTTGTTTATTGTAGTACTGACGTGGACCTAGGGCCTTGCACAGGTTAGGCAAGCCACCTCTGAGCTGAACTGTCTGTCCCCAGCCCAGGCCATCTAACATGTATCTTTTAACTTTTTTCCTTTTCCAATAAGCTCAGAAGACTATTACTGTATACAGCAAAACAAACAAAAACAAACCGAAACCAAACCAAACCAAACCAAACCAAACCAAACCAAACCCCAAAACCCCCAAAGTTACTTATGGTTTGTAGCATTGACCTTTACTGGCGTAGAGCTTGGTTTTGATACATTTGAAAACCTTCACTAGCGTGACAGAATACTTGATAAGAAGCAACTTAGGTCTTCAAAGAAGGGCTTATTCTTTTAAGTTTGAGGGTATGCAAACTCCTCAATGCTCTGTGACTAGGAAGGTTGAGGCAACAGGAGGAAGAGCAAACACTGTGAGGAGTCAGAGCCTGAGCAGGGAGTGGGACAGACACCTCAAGGCCAGCCTGGTATATGTAAGTGAATTCCAGGTCAACCAGGGCTACATAGTGAAACCCTGACTCAAAAACAACCAACCAACTCCCCCCCAAAGAAAAACCCCCCAAAGCAGCAAACAAGACAAAAACCAAAAAGGAACTCTGTGGAACAATGTATGGACGGAAACAAGTGAGTTGACTCAGTTTCCCCCTCTGTAAAAGAGATGGTCATGTATCTCTGTGACCAAAATTCCTGAGAAGACAGTGTAGAGAGGAACTGTTTATTTTGGTCTCAGTTTCAAAGCCTTCAATCCATTGTGGGTGGAGAAGCCATGCAAAGCAGAAGATAGGAAGTGGGGAGGAATAGCAGCAGGAAGGGGCTGGGAAGTTCCAAAGGTCACACCCCCAGTGACCTGCCTTCTCTACTCAGGTGCCACTTCCTGGTTGTCAACTCAAATGAAAAAGAATTAATTCGAGTGTGCGTGTGCGCATATGCGTGCTGGGAGGTGCATGCATCACTGCCGGTTAAAGTTGGATGTCTGGAGACAACTTGCTGAAGCTGGTTTCCTCCAACCATGGGGACTCTGTGACTGAACTCAGACAGTCAAGCTTGACAACAAGCAGTGTCCCCCACTGGGCTATCTGCGGGCTCCCCCCCCCCATCATTTTTAACTGAAAGTTTTAAATCATACTGAAAATAAAAAAATTCTCTTAGAACACTGAAATGCAAAATTAAAACAGGTATTTACAAATGAATAATAGCTGGACCGTTGGCATTGTTGAGTGTGGGTTGAAGTTGGTTTTGCTGTGACCAGATTGACCTACTGCCCACTGTGACTCTGACCCCTGTGCTGGGGCTTCACCATGTTCTCTACCTTCACCTCTTCTGTAGAAGGGATATAGTGGTACTTGGAGATCTCCATCTCCCTCTTCCCCCTTCTCCTCCCTCCTCCCCTCTATCCTCCCTCCCTGTCCTCCATCCCCTCCCTCCCTTCCTTTTTTAAAGACAGAGTTTCTCTGTGTAGTCCTGGTTGTCTTGGAACTCACTCTGTAGAGGAGGCTGGCCTCGAACTCCTGCCTCTGCCTCCTGAGTGCTGCAATTAAAGGTGTGTACCACCAGGCCTGGAT